CAAAGTTAGTTTAGCAGATTTGATACCTTGAACCAATACCGGATTTGGCTACCGGTTTAGGAATGATTGTGTCTATTCCGATGTATTTTGGCTACTGGTAGAGCTATTAGCTACAGGTTCAGGTAGGGCAATGAAGAATCCTTTTTTGAATAACAGATGGTTACTAGTTCCTAATATGTCTACCGGTTCCCAATGCACAGAAGTGAAACCGGCTATTCTCTTCAACCTTCTAAATCTTCCTAAGGCTATGTTTGGTATGGTGGGAATGAAAAGAAAGGATAACATTAGTTATGAGGGAAAAGAAAGGAAAGGGAAGGAAAAGGAAGAGAATGATAATTTTAACCCCCTATCGTGTTTGGTTGATTAATGCATGAAAATAAAGGAAAAGATAATAATCGTGTTTGGTAAAAGAAAAGAAAGGAAAGGAAGTATTTTAATAAATTTACTATTATACCCTTTTATATTTTAAAATATAAATATATAGATTTAACTATGTAATTTATAGGCCCATGGATGATGGGCCACCAGAAATAAAATATTTTTAGGGCAAATCATTTTAGCCTTCCCAATCGCATCCATCTCTATTCTCGTTCTCACTAAACTTGCCCCCTCTCTCTCTCTCTGCAACTGCAAACTACAAAATCTACAAGAATCAGAAGTTCAAAACCCATATATTTCAGTTTATCTATCTATCTGCGTCTGCAAGAATCAAAAGTTCAAAACCAATTACCTATTATCAAAACCCATATCTTTCAGATTGTTCAAAAAATCAAAACCCATATCTTTCAGTTTCCATCGCCTGCTGTTCCAATTCGGGTTCTTCGTTTGCAAGCTGCAGCCGCTTTTTCTCAACTCTCAAGCTTGCACCCCTCTCTTTCTCTCTACAACTGCTAACTTGTATGTATGGGTTTTTTTTTTTTTTTTTTTTTTTTAAATTGTTTTCTAAATCAACTAATCAAGGTCTGTAATTCTTGTTTTGCAAACTAAATCCTAAAATCAAGTGTAATCTTGATTTTGTGTAAGAGTAAATTTGACATCAGAAATTATACATCAAGCCTCTCCTTACCTTTCCTTCCATTTCCTCCCATTTTTGGGAGGATAAGAAAGTTACTAAGAAAGTTACTTTACAAGCCTTGTGATATCCTTCCAAAACCATCCCCTCCCTTTCCTTTCCTTCCAACCATTTAATGCCAAACACAAAATTTTTATCACCCTCTATCACCTTTCTTTTGCTTTCCTCCCTTTTCTATTGCACCAAACTGCCCCTAAGTGTTTTCACACACTCACATACCTTTCTAAAGCATTGTTCTCATCATCCCAGAGTGTATCAAAGTATGAATACTTGAATTTATTCAAATCCGCATCCGATCTTCAATCTTGAATTGTTGAACAAAAAAATTACAACTGGATCGGACTTGTTTTGACAACGCAATTAACCAATACAAAATATATACTTTTCACAATCTCCCCAATATATATATATATATATATATATATATATATATATATATATATCACACATTTTACAAATCAATTAAAATCAGACATTTTGTGCCACCACCCTTGAAATACTTCCAGCTCCCCCAACTTCTCCATTTCTTTTACTCGTACCTTAATTAATTGGAAAAATTTTGGAGACCGGAGAGTTTGGGTAATATTCCACTTAGAAAACCACTCCAGACTTCTCATCTCCTTATATGTAAGCATTTGAGATTGACCAACATTTCTATACCTTACGATACTTTATCCATCCAAGTACCACTAAGATTCAACAATTGTAATGCCCTAAGCTTCCCCAAAGGAGGCACACGTTTGAGTCCTTTGCACTGCCTAAGAGACAATAATGCAGTGAGATTCTCCATGTCTGATAAGGAAAATCTGTAATTTATCATTCTTGACAATGCTTGTGAGAGTTTCGCAACCCTTTTCTTCCTTTCATTTTCCCGTCTTGTGAGATCCAACTTCAGCATGTTGGTAATGTCATACTGAAATTTATCAATGGTTCAATCTTGCGATACACTGAGCCAATGAACAAGGATGTTAGAAGTTTTAGAACTTTGTAATACTCCCTCCGTCCCATAATAGATGGGTACTTTGGGAACTATGACTCACAAAGTACCCATCTATTATGGGGAGTAGTAAATTATGGATATGGGTTGCCAATGTTGTTTTTTCCGATTCCCATTTCATAAATTCCAATGCTTATTAAGCAATCCCAATTTTTTTTTCAAATTTTGCTTGAATCCCTGATAGATTAATTTTGTGGTCAACAATGGCATTGCTTTGGTGTCATGCACATCAAGTAACAACCCCTCAGCATGTTTTCCCAACTGTAGTTTTTAAAAAACATTATTATTTCCTTGTACATTTCGCTCTAAGCTTTGAAATTCATTTTTCCTTTTTTACATGTTATCCAACCAATTCTCGATCTTTCTCTTTCATTTCTTTCCCAGTTGAAACTCTGGATCTTACAGCATTGCAATTATATCAGCTTCTTGGCAGCTCAAATATTCAATTTTGCTTCTGAGAACTTGCATCTTATCATTAAGGCTGCTAAAATTGCTTAGTTGTCTTGCAATGTTCCTCAACATTTTTTTTGCAATAGCACTGCCAAAAGCAAGAGCTCATATAATATATTCAAATACAACAAGAAAGAAAACTTCAATGTATATTGATTTCCATAAACTTCATCGCTGGGGATGATTATTAATTATGCTAATCGAGTCCCCCTTGTAAAGTTAAAAATGAGAGTAATTAGTTGCACAATATATATATATATATATATATATATATATATATATATATATATATATTTGTATATATATATATATATATATTAGGGTTAAATGCAAAAAAACCCCCCTAAATTATTGGCAAATTGCAACCAACCCCCTGAACTACAAAAAAACTCCCCTGAACTATGAATTTGTTGCATTTCAGTCCATTTCGGCGACCAACTTAACCGAAAAAATAAAAAGTCTAATTTACCTTTATCAAAAAAATAAAAAGTCTAATTTACCCTTATTGACCAATGTCCATGTTCCTCTGAGGCTTGATTTGGGGAAGCCAAATATACATACACATATATAGTGAGAGAATATTGAGAGGGAGATTGGGAATTGGAGTTGCATAGAAAGATCTGTGAAACCTAAATCGTCGCCGAGAATGTTGAGTAGGAGATTTGGGCTTTGGCGGTGGCCTTCAAGATCGATCACATTTGTGAAACCTAAATCGTCACTACTGTTTATATTTATATATATATGTGTTATATATATATATATTGTTTATGATTTTGAACCTTTTTGGTGATTGAACAGAGTAAGAAAATCAGATTGGAGAATGAAGAGAGATGCTGTTGATTTCGGTGATTGGAGAAGGAATCGTGAAGAAAATGAAGGAAAAAGACGAACATATTCAAACCTAAATCATCCACAATAATCATAACTCGTTAGATCCACATTAGCGACGGTGGTGTCAATTATGGTGGCGGAGTAGGAGAAGGAAGAAGTAAAGCGGCGGATGATGCGCAATCGATGCGTTAGATCCACTGGGTCAGAACGAGTTACCGAGCGAGTCGTAACTCGGTGGCAGGTCAAAACCCAAATCATCCTTGTCATTGCCAGGATCTCGTTACCGTTGCCTCCAGGATCTCACTGTCGTCGTCTCCTGCGCTTGCCCCGCCACCGTCTCTTGGGCCGACGTACTAGCTGGTGTTGGTGGTGGTGTGTATAATATATATATATATATATATATATATATATATAATGGTGTTGGCAGAAGTGGGGTGGTGGCAGCGGGTTTGTGGGGGTATTAATTGGGTTTCAGAGTGTGCGACTTTAGGAGAAAAGGTTGGGCCGTGGTTGGTGATGGTGGGTGATGGTGGGTGATGGTGGTGGCGGGATTGGGGTGGTGGCATTTGTACTAGTTCGATTGGGTTGATGGTTAGTGGTGGTGGTTATGTTGGTGGTCGCAGACGGTGGTAGTGGTTATAGGATAATTTGGTATTTTCATACATGGAAGGACATTATTGTCCAAAAAATTCAATTTGTCTGTCGCGTGAATCTCACGTGCTCATTTTTGGACGGCCGGTAGCCGGGTGGGGGTGATCTGCAACTTTTTTGCATAGTTTAGGGGGTTTCTTGCATTTTTGGTAGTTCAGGGGTTAGTTGCAGGTTTCCCCATAGTTCAAGGGGGTTTTTGCATTTTACCCTATATATTATTATAAGTTTTGACAAGTTTTTCTCTTGGACCAAAAATATAGGATTTAACCACCTTCAGCTATAAAAAAAATAAATAAAAAAAATAAAAAATCGCAAGATACACCCTATTAAAATTAACACTGTCACTGGGAGAAAATTTTGTAAGAACTTACTACACCTTTTCACTATATTCTTCATTTCTACAACCTTAAATTCCAAATGACCATTTTTTATTACAAAGGAAATAACAAAATATTAGGCAAAAGCTGATGAATGATGCCATGATCAACAAAAGAACTATGCATTACAAATTTCAAGTCCTTCTTTCGGCCAAGGCATAAATACCCTCTAATCTGCGGCATGTGCTCGTAAGGGAGAATCTTGAAAATCATATTAACAAAATGGGTCTCATGTTATAGTTTAAGTGTGACAACCAGGATTTTTAAGAATTTAAATTATATTTATAAGAGTTGATTTTTTAGTTGTCAAAAATTGATCATTTAGTTTTAAATTGGAGACTTCAGTGTATAATTTTGTTACATATTTTATATATGTATTTGTTGCATTAGATGAAAAGGAGAGCAGGTGCCGAAAATGATAAAGAGAAAGGAAAGATATTTTGATTATGATTTGTTTGCTGAAATAGAAGGCAGCCAAAGTGGGTAAGGAAATGAAATTGTGATGATGTGTTGTATTGGCGGGCCCACTCGATATTTAAGGAATTGATTAGTTTGTTGCATAGATTATATATATATATATATATATATATATGGACAATACTTGTATCCCACCCAAGTTGGATGAAGTTTGTCCAACCTGGGTACGTGGCCTAATCATATGAAGACATGTGTCCACAATTAGTATTAAATTAAATTGGGCATTGCCCAACAATTTTTGGGTATGACCCATTTTTTTCTCTCTCATCTCTCCAAAAATCTGCACAGTCCGATGGTTATCAACAGCTCATCTTCTTCAACTTCAGCTAAACCTCGACTCTTCCAAAAGCCCTTCAGTTTCTCTCTTTCCCAATCACAACAAAACCTTCGATATATCATCTCTGATAAACACCAATCAAACTGAAATCGTGAAGGACAAAACCCTAGATCCAGTTTCCCCTGTTTTGGATCCACCACAACTTCCTCAATCTCCACTGCCTTTGCCTCCCTTGCTGCCGCCGCCACCACCGTCGGTGCAATGGGAATGAGACGGAGGTTATGGAAAGTGATTAAGGGGGTTCTAGGGTTAGGGTTAAGAAGTTTGGGATATGTCGGAGCGCTCTTCTCGGTTTACAGTGGTGGAACATTTGGGGAGTGAAGGAGAGAGAGTGTAGTCAGTGATGGAGACGGGTTGGGTAGGGGGAGGGAGAGGGGCTGCAGATCAGAGACAAAGAGAGAGGGAAAGGCTGTAGATCAGAGGAAGAAGAAGAAGACGCAAATCAAATGAGAAGGAAAAGAAAAAAAAAAAAAAAAAAAAAGAAGTAAAAAGACGGGTTATACACGAAAATTGATGGGCAATGCCCCATTTAATTTAATACTAATTGTGGACACGTGTCTTCATATGATTTGGCCACGTACCCAGGTTAGACAAACTTCATCCAACTTAGGTTGGATGCAAGTATTGTCCTATATATATTGCATCTATTCGATGGGGAAAAGGGTGCAGCCGAGATAGAGATAAGAAAGGAGCAAGTGGAGGAAAGAAAAAAAAAATGGGGCGGGACCCACTAGGATTTGTTTGGCCAATTTTCCTTGGTTTTGAATTGTTCACGTGGCTTTATTTTGGTGGTATGGATTAGTTGTTTGTTTAAAATGATAAAAAGAAGAAAGGAGATAAGAAGGCAAGTGGTTGACGAAATTGAAAAAGAAAAGAAAGAAAAATGTAATAATTTAGTGGGGTCCACCAGAGACTTTTGGGCCAAAATTATTTGTGCTTTATGCACGTGGGTTTGTTGGCTGATTTTTGTGCGAGGTCAGTGGATTTGCATTATATATTTGGCTGTTGTGTGTACTAAGTATACAAAGAAGAGAAAGATAGAAAAAAATTAGAGAAAGACAGAGAGTTTGAGAATAGAGAGTGTGCCGAGATGGACAGAAGTGAGCTGAGAGAGAAGTCCGACAGGTTGCAAAGGAGGCTGAAGTTTGATGCTCCAATGATCCAGTGAGGAAAACTCTTTTTCAGTGTAGGGCTCTCTATACCTTAAATGGCTTGGAGTGATTTTGTTTCAATGGTTTTTATTAAATGTTTTCATTAAATGCATATGTATTTTGTTTATATACTCACATGAATATGTATATTTTGTGAATCTATTTTGTTAAACCTCTATGAATTATGGTTTTTCCTACTGGGACTTTCAATCTCACCACTCTCCAGTTTCAGGTACCGAAGATGAATGGAGATTGCTAGTTTCGGGCTTAGGTGGAAGAGTCGGCGTTGCAGGATTTATTTTATTTATTTGGAGGATTTTTGTATATTTGAGGAAATTGATTTTGTATAAAAGAGGACATTTTTTTTTTTTTTCATGGGAGTATTTTGATGTATTTGAATTTGAATGAATTGAGGATTTTATTAGAATTTTCGGGTCGTGACATTAAGTATACAGAAAGTTGCTCAAATTTGCTGATGATAAGAAATCTTAATCGAATCAAGTTGGATATTTTGGAATTCAAATAACAAATATTATTATTAAAAAGTATTGAATTAACCCAGATAAGTAAAATGGGTCAAGTGTAGAAACACCTTTGCACTATGCTTACAGTGTATATCACACCCCTGGTGTGCGAAAAGCACCCTTAATGTATCAAATTTGTGCAAATAGGTCTTACCAACATATTTAAAGTATAGTTAGACTAAAATTCCCTTACTTTGACATTTTATAAAGGATTAAGTACAAAAAACACCCTTGCTATATAAAAAATGTGCAAGAAACATACTTATTGAAAAAAAGTTCATATTTATGTATTATTCATCTTTTGAGCCAATTGCCCCTTAATCATAAATTGTGACTAAATATTTTATAAAAATCCCAAAATACCCTCTCTGCTCTCTGTTCTCTTTACCATTTTCTCTCTTGATTTCAATCCCTTTGAATCTATCTCTATTCCACTCTCTCCCTTGAACTAGGCAACGGCCCTCCATGCATATAAATAGTATATAGCAAGGATTAATACTACAACCTTCTCATAACATAGGAACCATGTCCAGATTTGAAATTTTATTTTTACTTTTTCTCATTGATAATACTAATATAAGAGGAGTGAGAAATACAGAACAATAAGAAAGTGTAAAGGGTAATCACATAGCCCTTGGATGATAAACCAATTCTTTCTTATGTGCTTCAACGATGATTTGGAATGGAAAATAGAGATTATATATATAGGGATATATATATATATATATAGGGAGTGAGGGTGATAGAAAATGGATGAAATAAATTGGTTACGGTGGTGTTAGAATCTGTGATGACCATGCCATCTTCCTTTTTTTTTTCGACATTCATTTTATTCATTTATTTATTTTTTTATTTCTTTTCGTGTTTCCTTAGGATTTTGTAGAACCTAGGGTAGGGTTTGGTGTCCGGAATCGGTTTCCGGCATCCCATGCCTTTACATTATTTTATTTTATTGTCAATGCATAGTTTAATTGTGTAGAAAAACATACTTGTTTAATTTCATTTCTTGAGGGTATGATTGCATTGTTTCTTCAAGAAACTTTTCATTCTGGGGTTATTTGTGCGATTATCTTTTTGAGATATCTTGGCTTATGGATCTTTTTGCAATTATTTTTGTGAGATATTTAGAGGAAGAACTTTTTTTATAATTTTTGAAAAGTGTGACAAGTGTCACATTTTCCTGTTGTCATTTCTGTGATTTAATTGTTAATTTTATTTCTATGTTTTTGCATGCTTCTAGTTTGGCACGATATTCGATTTATTTTGGTATCAGAGTTATATTGTTTCGTTAAAAAAAATTTATATACAAGATCTTATGTCATAAGAAGTCTATACGTCCATATTAAATTACTGTGAATTATATCAAATATTTCAAAAAGAAAATTTTAAATTAAAGGTCTTTTTATAATAAACCTAAATTGATAAGTATAAAATATAATTAATAAAAGTTTAAAGGGTATCTAAGAAAATAGTAAGTCTCACATTAGTTAGCCACGTGGTATTTTGTTCCACCTCAGCCTGCCACATAGGAGTCGATAGAGTCAAAGTCGGGTTGTGTAGCATCACCGTATGTATAGATATATGCTCTTGGAATAAATATATACTAATGTCAAGGGCGGCTCGATGTAATTCAAGGTCTTAGGCGAAAATTAAAAAGTGGCCTTTTTATATTATAATATGCAATATATTAATTATTAATTAAAATTAATTCTTTTTGCTTTTTGAGATGCAAACTTACTAATTAAATTCTTATATTCAAGTTGGTTAAAATATATTTTTCAATAAACAATATAGCCAATCCATTTAATATTTCTAATAACATAGTTGATCATAGATATGATTTTATTGTAAATCAAGTCACTGGTATTTTTTTTATTTCACTATTATATAATCTTCTAATTCTTTTAGATAATTTGATTGTTCATTTGCTGAACTTTCATCTAAATGTTTTATTAGGTTTTGATTATTAGTTGTAACAAATTTATTAATAACTCCCTTTTGAGATTGGATTAATTTATATTCTTCTCTTTTTTTTTCTTCTTTTTTTTTAAAATTTTTTTCAAATCCGGATTTTTACTTTCTAGCATACATATTCAAAAATATGGATAAAAATAGTCACAAGACTCACAATTCACAAACAAATATACAAATATATGAAAAATATAGATATATACAAATTTATAATAACAAAAGTTAGTAAAACTAAAAAATAATTAAAAAAAAAAGAACAATATAACCTGATTTAAAAAGACCCAATTCAATGCTGCTGCAAATTCTTCAATAAAAGAAAAGTACGTTCAATTTGAGATTTGAGACTAATGAATATTGAGTCGAAAAGAAAGAAAATTGTAAAGTTGTAATGAAAGAGGACTGAGATAGAAGATAACTTGTAACTTGTAAGTAACTTGTTGAAATTGCTGAGAGAGGTGGTACAACTTACTGAAAAAATATTAAATATACATAGTGCTGGTGTAAAAAAAAAACCGTGTATAAGAAGAAAAAAAATATTAATGAGATTTTTTAGGAGATAAAAAAAAAAAAAAAATGAGATATTTTAGGAGATAAATAATTTCTCTCCCTGTTAAAGTTTAATGAAAAGGGTAAATATAAGGAGAGAGAAAATAAAAAAAAAAAAAAATTATCTTAGGATATATATTTTATAGAATTAGTGTTCAATAAGGAAACAATTATCATATATCATATACAAGGCAACTCTAATTTATTGAGGCCTTTTATTAGTTGGGGCCTTAGGCGGCCGCCTAACTCGCCTAAGGCACGAGCCGCCCCTTACTAATGTACTCTAGCAATCTTATGTATGATCAACTGGAATAAAATATTTTCAAATATTCCTTCATATCCACTTATTTCCAAGATGCTTTATGTAGAAGATGATATACTCTAGCAATTTTATATATGGTCAAGATGCTATATGGAAATAAGTGGATTAAATATATATGTAGAAGCCCAGATGAAATGATATATAACTCCAAGCAGCATCTAAGTCAAACGAGCCCCTAAAAAATATGAAAATGTATATTTAAACAATCAGCATATGAAAATACACAATATCAACAAAGAAAGCAGAGCAAATAAATCACATTCTAACAATTTTCTTTTTCTTTTTTTCACAGATCATTCAAAAAGTTTCTTGCTTCAGCAGAAATTCAACCAGTTCGGATTCCCATGCAAATGGGGAGGAAGGCAGAAAGTCCCAGTTTGACAGAGAATTCAGACACTGGTTGTGGGTTGGCGTGGGGGCTATCAATATCAATCTGGAATATACAAAAATATATATATATATATTACTTGTCATCATCTACAAATGTTTCAGTAAAATTTGCCTAAATATCTAAATTTATACAAAAAGAAAGAATATGCAATGCAAAAACCTTGTAAAGAGTGTCGAATTTTTGCTGGTTTAGACTCAGGAAATTCAATAGATGAAACAGAATCTGCACAGGAAAAATTAAACTTTAAATTCAAAAGACGATACAAGTACTACTGTATATATATGAATTTCCACGTGTGAAGGTTGACCAATTCTGACCTACTCCAAGACAAGTTATTCAACAAAACTTATTATTATTATTATTTTTTTCCAATCAAAAATGAAATTTAGAAACAAGCTATCAAAGATTAGGGTGGCAATTCGTGTTATGGATCATAATCATATCGTGTCGATGTAAAGGTATTCTACTCAACAAGTAAACCCAAACCCGACCCATTTAATAATCGTGTCAGAAATTCTTAATACTAACCCTACCTGTTTATTAAATGTGTTAACGTGTTAACCCATTTAATGATCTGTTTATCAAAATGAGAAATTTAATATTAAATCAAATAATAAATAGTAAAAAAAAATTGTCACAATTAATCTAAATATTGAAAATAAGAAAAAGAAACATAAATCGTAGTCAATATTTATATTGAAGTGACTTAACTGCTTATAATAATTGGGTTTAAACAGGTAACATATTACTCACAATTATGACATGTTGAGTTAAACGGGTATAAACGGATTACACGGGTTGACCCTCCTCAACCTTAACCCAATACGGTTAAGTAAACGAATTAATCATGTCAATTCGTTTATGACCCAAACTCGTTTAAGGTCAATCTAAATCCGCTTATCTCATATCGTGTTCAAATCGTATTGACAAGTCGTGTAATACGTAATTTGCCACACCTACCAAAGACCTATATGAAAAGCATTAGAATGTATAACATCAATAATCTACAATATACAATATGAGTATGAAAAATTAAGTTCAAAGAGAGATGAAACTATGACACTATTGAATATTTGAACTTATTTGCGTTTAAGGCAGGCTAAGGACTACTCACTTTTATATGACGTATCAGCTTGCTCCTCCATTACTAGATGGATACCCAATTTCCTGACCTTCACACTTTCTGAAGTCAATATAATTGAAGCCTCAATATAACAGCCATCTTGATCTTGACAAATATTATTGGGGCTGAGATTTGGTTTCGTCTTCATCAAATTTTTAATTGGTATAGAAACCCCTTCCTCCTCATCAAAATATTCGGTTGTCTGAATCAAAATGATATGATCTGAACCAATATCGGTTGATGTATAGAAATTTTCAAACGATGTGGTTATTATGGAATAACCATCGACTTTGATATTCAAGTCAATACCATCGAAAGAAGTTCCATCACATTCCAAAGCAGCACCGACGACAATTCCTTTGATGTCATTGTAAGAAGGTAGATTATGATCATTAACCTGCAAACACACTGAAGTGATCTCACCCTCACTCTTATGGCTGAACCAATGCGGAATATCACTTCCCGGAAGAATCATTTTACCAATTACCTGTACCATAAAAATATATATATGGCGAAGCTGAGTTTCTGATACATGCATACATAGACATATAAACACAAACATATATTTATAGAGCTAGCGCTAGAGAGAGAGGAACCTGAAGTTGACTTCGTAATGATTTATCTGACATAACCAATTTGTGGCACTCAGTGAATATGAATTCCCGATTGTCTGGACTGCCTACACTTGGCGGGAACCAATACCATTCCAATAATATGCAACCACCTGCATCCACAAAACGTATAGATGATGGAAGTGACGTCAACGTTCGGAGGCTTCTGCAATTTCCCAAACCAAGCCTTTCCAGCTTTGTGAGTTGAACGAAGCTTGGTGGTACGCTTGCGAAATTGTTTCCATTTAGAATTAAGCGTCTCAATGAAGATAAGCCCGAAATATCGTTGGGGAAAAATTCCTCTGATAAATTGCAATTCCTGAGATCTAAATCATTTAAAGTGCACAAACGGGAGAGCAGTTCCAGTTGCAGATAACTTGAATTTACAGTTGCTCTCCTCCCCATGAATAATGAAAATGGAAACAATGAACTTGACGTTCCTTGAAAATCAGAGAGATTAAGGATTTTAAGGTTACTCAAGTCTACTATGGATGACGGTAACTGTTTCAAAGCAGTTCCTCCCATCTCAAGGGATTTTAAATCCTTCATTCTAGAAAAAATGTTGCTTGGAACAATTTTAAGCTTTCTGCAGTCCCTTAGACATAAAAATCTAAGTCCATTAAGATGTTCCATTGACAATGGTAACTCTTTTATTGCACTCCTAAAAAAATTAAGATGTTCTAAACAACCCATGTTCCCCTCAATGTCTGGAAACTTCTCGAGTTTTGAACAAAATGATAGATTAAATTTTTTCAAATTTTTCAGCTTGATGCTTCTTGGAAGACCCCTCAACTTTTTACATCCATTAAGATTCACATCAACAAGCCTCTCATGGACTCCACCAAAAAGTTGAATCTCAACTAGATTCGTACATTCTCTAAGATCTAAATTCTCGAGGCATGGCAAACAGGACAAATCAGGAGTTTTGTTCAAATATGGAGAGTGACTGAGATTAAGGAACCTTAACTTCTCTAGAATCTGTTGAACAAATATGCAACGCAAGAAAGAAATTAGCTATATTAAACCCAACAACACTATTCATATGTATATAATTGTGTAAATAAACTATGATCATACCTTAACGGGAAAACTAATTTGTTTCATTTGGCTATGGGGAAGGCCAAGATGAACAAGACTTCGTGGATGGAAATTGGATGGCAAACAGCTTGTCGAGTAACCGTCCCAATCAAAATAGCGTAATTCATTTGAAAGATATGTAATGCGTCCACATGAACGTATGCCACTGAGTTTGAGAAATTTAAGACTCTTCAACTTCATAAAGACGTCAGCATTTACATGTAACTCCTCCAATGTATCATCGTGAGGCCTTTCTAGCATAATGCCTTGAATTGATTCTGTCCCCTAATTGACAAAAACATGGTGTGAGTTACCACATATGGAAAATCTAATTAGAATTATACTAGTTTATATATCCTTATGTGAAAAGAAGATAAAGCAAGCCTACCCTTTTTGAACTACTTGCATGTCGAAAAAAACCTTACACTATGTAATTAGAACATACCGTATTCTCTTCGAGTACTTTATAAATATCTTCAGGAAACCACAACCTACTGCGTTTGCCAGGATCATTGGGATATTCTTGTCGAACAATTTCTTTACCCATTTCTTCTATTAAATCATGCATCCACAATTTATTCCCATTGGAGATGGTTATCAAGGACCGCTCAATAAGAACGGCAATTCGTGGGTGAAACTCACTACTACTCAGTATATTCATTACATAATCTTTATCATACCCTTTGAAGAAACAAGCGATGTCGAGGAACAAATCTCTCTCTGTATCATTTAGGCCATCAAAACTAATCTTGAGAACATCATAAATTTGATTATTTGGAATTTTTTTCAAATTATTTAGTTCACATTTCCATTCTTCCCTGCTTCTGTTATATAAAAAAGAACCCAAGACTTCAAGAGCTAGTGGAAGGCCTTGTGCGTAATTTATTACAGCACATGAGAGTTCCAGATAATTCTCTTCCGGATAGTTCTTCGAAAAGGCATGCCAACTAAAAAGTTGAAGAGCTTCATCATTATTAAACAGCTCAGCCCGATATATTACATGATCAACTTTATTCTCTACCACCAAACGTTCATCTCTAGTTGTTATGATGATCCTACTTCCAAAGCCAAACCAGTCCTTTCCTCCAGCTAAACATTTTAATTGCTTCACATCATCCACGTCATCAAGAATTACAAGAATCTTTTTGTGACAGAGTCTTTGCTTTATCACATTGATTCCGTAATCAACATGGCATATATCTAAATCTTCTCCCATGAGAACGCCTTTCAACAGTTGTTGTTGGAGATAAACCAGACCATGCCTTTTTGATTCTTCTCTTACATTGCCAAGGAAATGACAACTTTCAAATTGATCTAAAATTTGATTGAAAACAACTTTGGCAATAGTTGTTTTACCTATTCCACCAGTTCCACAAATTCCCACTATCCGCAAATCTTTTAACCCGTCGTTGTCGAGCAAAGTGACCACTTCATCCACACGAGAATCTATCCCCACTTCATACTTGGTAACATTTAATGGTAGGTGTCCCAACACTTTTAAAGTTTCCTGAACAATTTTCTGGATAAACTCTGCCTCATGCCTATCAAGTACAAAGCATGGTTAAACAAATCTAGCTAGTTTGATTGCACTAATAAGAGAAATAAAATTGAAGTTGCTATAATAAATAGTTTTGTCAATTTTAACTTATATATGGGCAGATAATAACAAGCAACTGAATTCGTTAATTAAAATGTTATAAATAGATTAATAAATCTTTAAAATGTTGTTAACAAGATGATAATGAGTGGTGCTAGTAGCTAGACAGTCACGTGTTAGAGTGAGAAGAAAGACATTAGAAAATACAACAAGTATAATGGCCGAAGACCACTTCTGTATAGGCAATGGCTGAACAGTACATTATTATTCAAATTAGAATAATTCCAAAAGACAAAAAAAAATTGAATCCATAATATAGAACTGCTCAATATAACATACAAAATGAACTTTCAATACACAAAACCTTAAATTTAATAAAATAGGCTATTCAGTTATAGTCTAGGGTAACTCATCTATGACTGGATTTAAGATTAAAACACTGATATAGAATAGGCTATTGAGTTATAGTCTAGGGGTAAGGGTCTCCTCCCCTCCAATCTGAGAGGTTCATTCAACTCAACATAGGGGTAGAATGTGTGTTATATGCTAGGACAACAATAAGGATCTCTCCTCCAAATCGATTTCTTGATGGAATAATTACTTGGGGCAACCAGGAGGCAGATATTAGTGTTCAAATTCTGTAATGAATGTGAAAGAATTTTTATTTATTTATGACCCATTTAGGATGTTGACATTGATGAAGTTTACCTTGATATTTAACATAAAAAATAAATAGAATAAAAAAAACAATTAAGCTAAATACTGACAGAAGTAGATGTAATATTAGACTAATTACCCATTTGCTATATTCTTTAACTCCCATCCGCTTAAGTTTGCTGCCTCCACCAAAGCTGCCCTCCACCTGATCAGCTTTTCGTTGTCCTTCCCAGATGTTTCTTCATGCTCTCCAAATGCTTCTGCAAAACTTCGCTTTTGTTTTCGTACTTGCGAGGGATCCACATCATAAAACACTGGGAAAACTGTCAATCCCATCATGTTCTTGCATTTAATGATTTCTACAAGTTCATCAAGGCACCATGAGGAGGATGTGTAGTTTTTCGAGAAAACGATGACTGCAATTCTCGATTTGCTGATAGCCTTGAGGAGTTCCGGAGAAATCGATTTTCCTCTCTCGAGTTTCTGATCATCTTTGAACGTGTAAATTCCTTTCTGTCGCAAAGCCATATAGAGATGGTCTACAAAGTTTTTGCGAGTATCTTCACCTTTAAAACTCAAAAAGACATCATAATTCCATTGAGGAATGGAGGAGGAAGAAGAAGCAGCAGCCATATATTAACACTTTGCTAATTTGTCAATGCAGAATTACCCAGAGGGGTTGCGATACTTTTTTCAAGAGCTCTCTTCTTTATTATATGACTGACGGCCAAGCGTGCCAAGCAATTATTTTCTTCCAATACTCAGCTTTACTTTGGAGGATGAATGTCAGAGAAAGAAATTGCTGTGAACTTTCCTCCCTAAGAAAATGAGAATATATGACTCGCATAAAAGCTTTGCTTTGGGGGATGAAAATTGTACAGATGAGGAATTTTTTTGTTGGAACTTGATGGTAAATTGTCATTGTCGTGAGCCGTATTGATCGGAAAAATAGAACTGTTAAATCTGCAGACTTTAATGCAAGCTGTGGAAAACTTTAATGCAAGTTGGATCATTCAGTCCAATTATAATCTCTACGGTGGGGGAAGCTGTCGGTGCGCCAAATTAGGGACATAAGAAAGTAAAACTTTTAACCGTGTGTTCACACGCCCTAAGAAAGATTTAAATTCTCAAATATTTGCAAGCTGTCGGTGGGCCGAATTAGGGACATAAGAAAGTACAAACTTTTACTGTGTTCACACGCACCTTAAGAAAGATTTAACTCCTCAAATATTTGCAAGAGAATTACATTTGACAAAGGCCCATTTAGAGGTCATGTCTAGAGATTTTTTATTTTTTATTTTTTATTTTTAATTTTATTAATTATTATTATTATTATTATTATTATTGTCTATTGTTTGCAGAGTACATGGCAAACAAGACAAGATTACATCATTAACATTAACCACAAGAAAAAGCTGAACCCATTAGAACATGCAGGAGACGCATCCTACACACGCACCATAACAATCATGATTGCAATATTTAACAGGTGGGCACACAAGAAATGCCACACAGCATGAGGCGGCAAACAAGGACGACAGAACAACGCACATTGCCGGGAATAGTATATCGCCAGTGTGCTGCCATCCCCATAAGCGCCAACATCATAAACGTCCTCTGCAATATAAACCCCCACTGGGCATAGAAAGCATCCACAAATATCCATATTGGATATGCACAAACCTGGCCATACAGTCTGGCAACGGCTATCCACAACCCAGAGGCAAAAGCGGCCGATTGAAACACAACTTTGATTTGGAAATTGTGATACCCTTCGATTCTAGAGCCACAGGTGATCAAGTCCGAGCACACAGATTCGAGGGATACCAAACAATTAATATTTAAATGAACACAGAATACAACAGAATAATAAGAATTAAATAGTAAAGTTGAAAGAATCTAATTAATAAAGTCTTCAAAATAAAACTTATAACATCCTAAAACTTTCCAAAACCTCCAACATTTATAAAACTCGGGAATCAATCTCTAGTGGACCCCTAATAAAAATCCCAAACAGAAATGTAAACAACTAAAATGAAATCCAAAGCTAAATTATGAAAAGAAATCCTACGTCATCGAAAGAGTGAGTGACAGTCTCTGCTCAACGTGAACAAGCTCTACGCTTGGAACTGACGAACACCTGGAAAAAATGATAGTGGGTCAGGCCCACGAGCAAGTTCTATACTACTACAATCCAAATAAAGACCTGATACGCATGTACATCCGAAACAACTCAACAATAGCTATATAGTCCGTACATATATATATCCATACTAAGGGACTCTCACTGGACTACAAAGGGGGTCTCAACCTGAATAGAGGCAATATGCAAAACGCATCTGAAGTGGGCATGTGTACCTAAGCCTAATAGGGTACACCACTACCTATCATAGCCAGTTATGCATTCCAATGCATATACGCTCCCTAACCATCGATCCTGAGACTCAAGCTCATATCGTGGTACTATAATCATATATGTAAAAATCCTATCATATCCATCCATAAAAAATCCAGTTAGTAATTGAACTTATTCAGCTGATCTGACTTAAGTATAAGTAGGATTTAATTTTATAATCCATTCCCTTATTTCAGAATAGGTAGGACTTAGCATTTTGAGCTAATCCATCTCTAATATGCCACCGTCCCATACCGGTGCATATTATCTAACCATCCAACAATTGAAAATACAGACAGTAATTGTAAACATCAACTGATCCATAATAAGCATAATAAAAATATATAAATTAACATGCTAATTTGATCATACTCCGCAAAATCCAATAATTGATGAATTTAAGTAAGAATACAATTAAACATCAATTCATCCCTAATGAGCCTAATTCAAATATGTAATTTACATGATCGTAATATGCTGGTATTATATTCTTCCTACTGTATTATTAATAATAGAAAATTGCTATAATAAAGCTAAGCAATTTATATAGCCATCCCGTAGCTATATGCAAATTTGTTAAAACTCTCATATTGTTTAAAAATCTCTAGCAATAACAGGTTTCTTATGCATACTATATTTAAAACTTGTCCCTATAAGCTATTTAAAACCTCCCATAGCAGTTCTTAGTTGAATCTAGAATTTAAAACTCAATTGTAGTAGCAAAAACATCCCCGAAAAAAAAAAAAAAAAAAAAAAAAATTCGGCAAAGAGCCGGCTCCCTAACAAAGGGAGTCGCCTCCACCCTCATGGAGCCGACTCCCTTGGTTAGGGAGCCGCCTCCTAACAGCCTAGAGCCGGCTACCCACTAAGGGGCCATGGGAGCCGCCTCTCTCCAAGAGGGAGCCGGCTCTCTCCCTCATCTTCATCGTCTTCCACTCCTCGGGTGACTTTCCCACATCCAATTCCCCTCTGTTAAGGTTCCTAGCAGTCATAGCTAAGTCCCAGATTGTCCTAGCAAGTTTGAAAGTCCATGATGTATTATTAAAATTAATTTAAACAGAGAATCACGCAAGAAATCATAAATTCAAGAAACTAAAATTTATTTAGATACATATTGTTATGAATCAGATTATTACATGCATAACAGATAAATTTTTAACATTCAATTAATCCTGGAATTATTTAGGCATGTAAAGAACACGAAGCCTAAGGGAAAGAGTTAAGAATAGAACTTGCCTTTGAGATTTCGGTTCAAAAATCTCAGCGTTATCTTCTTAAATTTTTTGCCGATCAATTGACTCATTCCTAGTCGTCTGTTGCCCTTGGTTCAACCCACGAACAACACCCCTTCCTCTTCCTTGGTCCGACCTTTACTTACGGCCGAAACCCTAACTGATTCGCTCTGTTTCTCTATATACATGAATAGGGTTTTTGTTTCACCCTTGGCAGACGCATGCTGTTATATATATAGGCTTCAACTTAAGAAACCTAATTTTAGTTATACTTAGGGAATGAAAGTAAAAGAAAACACAAGTTGGCTAACCCTTGAAGAATATAAAACCTTAGAATTATAATATACATTAAATAATGAATAATACTACTAAGTTAATTATTAATAATGACTAAGTCCACCTAAGCATAAATGTAATTAAAACAAATAAATCAAATAATCAATTAAAACAATTAATTCATTTTCTACATAAGCATATAAAAAAATAAATAATTCAATTAAATAAAAACAATTAAAACAACTAAGAAAATAATCAGATAATCAAGTAAAAATGTGCACTAAGACAATAATTACAAATACCGAGACTATCCTTTTAAAATTAGGGGTATTACATTCTTTCCCCCTAACAAAAGGAATTCCGTCCTCGAAATTCGCTCTTACCTTCTTCCATTATTTCAGGAAACTGCGAATGAATGACATCCTCCCGTTCCCAAGTAGACTCAGCCTCATTGTGGTGACTACACTGAATACGTACTAAAAGGATAACCTTATTACGAAGAATCTGATCCCGACGGTCGACAATATGACATGGTGGCTCCAAATATGTTGCATCCGGCTGCAACTCCCTAACATCGATATACTGATATCAATCCTCATCTAGTAGAAATTTTCGCAATATGAAAACATGAAACGTATTGTGCACACGATCAAATGATCCGGGAGTGCCAACCAATAAACTATAGCTCCAACTCGATCCGTAATTATGAATGGACCGACAAACCGCGATGAAAACTTCCTTTTCTTCCCAAAGCACATTACTCCTTTCATAGGAGATACTTTGAGGAGAACCTGATCCCCAACCTGAAACTCCAATGCACGAGTACGATGATCGGCATAACTCTTCTGCCTACTCTGAGCAGTGCGCATGCGATCCCTAATAAGAGCATTCTTTTTAGAGGTATTCTTAATGAACTCAAGACCCAAAACTCTACTCTCGCCAACCTTTATCCAACAAACAGGAGATCGACATGGTCGGCCGTACAATGCCTCAAACGGTGCCATACCAATAGTCTTCTAGAAGCTATTATTATATGCAAACTCCACAAGTGGCAAATAATTCTCCTTGTGGCCCTTGAAGTCAAGAACACACGAACGAAGCATATCCTCCATGATCTGATTAACCCTCTTGGTCTGTCCATTAGTCTGAGGATGATAAGCAGTACTAAGATGTAACTCTGTACCCAAAGCCTGCTGAAAACTCTTCCAAAATCCTGACACAAAGCTCGAGTCCCTGTCTGATATAATAGATAATAGAATGCTTTGCAACTTTACAATCTCTGTAATGTAAAGTCGTGCCAACTGTTCCGAAGTGAAATCAGCGCGAATAGGTAAGAAATGAGCTGATTTAGTTAACATATCAATGATGACCCAAATGGAATTGTGATCCTTTAATGAATTAGACAATCCCTCCACAAAATCCATAAAAATGCTCTCCCACGTCCACTCTGGTATAGGTAGTGGCAGTAAATTTCCTAGTAGCCTCTGATGATCAATCTTGACCATTTGACAAGTACTACACTGAGTGACAAAAATATCAATGTCCTTCTTCATACCTGCCTACCAAAATTGCCGCTTCATATCCTGATACATCTTGTCTCCTCCTAGATGAACAGAAAACTCAAAATGATGAGTCTCAATCATCCCATCCTTCCTCAAATCATCAGCAGAAGGTACAACTTGATGAGCACTGAAAAGTGCGTATTTACACCCCTTAAGTTTATGCATTCTAATACCTTTATTTATCTTACTTTACCGTTTTAGATTGATTTCGTATTATTTCCATTTTCAGGCACTTATCCTGAAAATAACCTAACTCAGCCAAATAAGAGCTTAATTGAAGTAATTCTAAGATTAAACAAAGAAAGGAGCAAAATGGAGAAAGAAATAAGCAAAAAGAAGCAAGGCAGAAAGTTCGATCGATCCAAGTCCAAGGTTCGATCGATCGAACATTGATCGATCTCAGCACTTCAAGATAGATCCAAGCCTTAGCCCAAAAGCACTTAAGTCTAAAAGTTCGATCAATCCAACAACATTCTTCGATCGATTGAACACCTTTGTCCTTATCCAAATGATTGATCTTATCCATAGCTGTCCACCCACTAACCACTTTTGTCTTTTTCCCAAAAATATCTCCCAAAATATCTCGGATTTGTCTTTTCCCAAAAAGCTCAGCC